CTTTTTCTCTCTCTCTCTCTCTCTCTCTCTCTGTCTCTCTCTCTCTCTCTCCTCTCCTGTGCAGTATTATCTATCATTGATGGTGAGATGTTCTTTTTGGAGGCAGCAAAAAGACAGATCTTGTTTTCTAATCCAATCTGTTCATCTGTGTCTCTGTGACTCTTTATTGGGGTATCAAGACCATTACTATTAAGTGTTATTGTTGAACACTGTGTATTAACTCCTGGCATTTTGTTGTTTTGTGGCATGTTATTAGACTTCTTTTGATTAACTGTTCTGGACTTGTTTGTTTACTCCCTGTGACCTCTTGGGTGAGTTTATCCTTGTATTCAGACTGAAGTATTCTTTTGGCATCCTCTGTAGAGCTGGTTTAGTGGTTTAATCTGTTTTTATTATGGAAAGTTTCTATTTCTTCCCCAATTTTAATCTATCATTTTGCTGTGTATAATAGTCTGAGTTGACAATTGTGGTCTTTCAGAACTTGAAATACATCTTTCTAGGCAATGCCAGCTTTAAATGTTTCTGCCAAATAACCAGATGCTATTCTGATGGACCTACCTTTATAAGTGACTTGATCTTTCTCTCTTGCAACATTTAATACTCTGTCTTTTTTCTGTTTTTTTTTTTTTTTTGAGACAGTGTCTCTTTTGCCTCAGTTGGTCCACAACTTGCTATGTAGGCCAGGATGGCCTGATCTTATAGAGATCTGCCTGCCTTTGCCTCTCGAGTGCTGGGATTAAAGGCGTGTGCCACCACGCCTGGCTCTATTCTATGTCTTTAATGTTTTAACTATAATGTGTTGTGGGGAGTTTCTTTTCTGGTCCTGTCTCTTTGGAGTTCTGTAGGTCTTTTGTACCTGGACAGGCTTCCCTTTCTCTCATTTTGGGAAATTTTCTTCCATGATTTTATTGACAATATTGTCTATGCCTTCCCTATGGTGTGTTCCTCTTTCTTCAATGTGCACAGTAGAAGGTGAAGTCTTTTCATGTTGTTCCCAGAGTTCTCCTATGTTCTGCTTATTGTTGACCTTTACTGAATGATCCAATTCCTTTACCTTGTCTTCCAGTCCGGATTCTCTGTTTTCTATATGACACATTCTATTGGTGAGGCTTTTGCTAAGTTTTTATTTTTCCAAAGGGGGGGCTTATTGAGATTTTTCATTTCCAGAATCATTTCAGTTTGGCTTCAACAATTCTCTCTTTGTTGAATTCTATTTTTGTATCTTGGACTGAATTCTTTTTTATTTCATTCAGCTCTTTGGTTTTGTTCTCTTGGTGTGCATTCCTGTCTCTTAAGTTGTTTGAACATTCTTAGAATCATTCTTTTAAATTCTTTGTCTGGAAGTTCTTCTAGGTCATTTTTACTAGGTGCCATTATTATGGGATTAGAACTTTGTGGAGGAGACATACTGCCTTCATTTTTCACGTTGTTTCTGTTTCTGAACTGGGACTTGTATATTGGGAATAGTTTGTGGGTGAGTTCTTTTCTTTTCCCTCCCTCCCTCCCTCCCTCCCTCTCTTCCTTCCTTCATTTTGGTCTTTTTGAGACAGGGTCTCCTTGTAGCCACAGTATTTACAATGTTCAGAAGAGGACTAAGTCTTAGTAGGATTGAGATGCCCATTTTCTTCTGCAGGGCTGATACAGGAAGTTTTGGAGGGGCACAGGTGGTCTTAAGCAGAGGAAGCTGGGTTCCCTTACTTCCTGTAAAAGGTCTTGTGGGCTGGGCTCCTGCAGCAGATTTTTGACAGTTGTAGATGGGCCTGATGCAGGAAGCAGGTAGTTGATACCTGGAGTGTGGTTTCTGGGCAGTGTTGGCAGGCCTAAGTGGTGGAAGCAGAGTACAAGAAGTCATGTGGGCTGGGCTGCTGGTGCAGGAGGTTCCTAGGCACTACAGGTGGGCCTAAGTAGGGGAAGCTGGGGTCTTCAGGGGGCCACGTGGACTGGGCTTTTAGAACAAAATTTCTGGGAGCTATAGTTTACCCTGGTGCAGGGCACTGGTAGCCAGTGCCTGGAGCTTGATCCCCAGGTCATCAAGTTTAATGTTTTAAAAACAAAAACAATAGGAAAGTACAGGAAAGAAATAGAACTGGAAAATGTAACCACACGAAAACATCTCAGTAGTAAAATGGAGTTGACAGTGTAGAATTGAATTCGAATAGAATTTACTCAATAATAGGAAAATTTAGCTTTTTTTCCCTTTTATTAAAGAAAGTGGACAGAGCTATGGGATAAGAACAAAACAGTTCATACTTATATCACCATAACCTAAGAGAGGGACATACACGCACACACGTGGGTGCACACACACACACACACACAGAGAGACACACACACACAGAGAGAGAGAGAGAGAGAGAGAGAGAGAGAGAGAGAGAAAGAGAGAAGCTAAAAGTATTCAATAAAATAATGGTAATTCACCCTGCCTAATGGGTGAAATATATTAACTTACAGGTTGTCTTAGTTTTTTTCCCCTCTGGCTATGCTGAAATACTCTGAAAAAAACAAGGGAGAAAGGTTTATTTTTGCTCACAGGTCAAGATACAGTCCATCGTGGTGGGGCAGTCAAGGCAGCGGGAGCTTGAAACAGCCAGTCACTTTAAATCTACAGACAGGAAGAAGCAGAGAGTGATGAGTGCAGTGTGCTCAGTTCCCATCCAGGGAATGGTGCCACCCTGTGCTCAGTTCCCATCCAGGGAATGGTGCCACCCACAGTGGGCTAGCCTTTCCACCTCAGTTAAGGAAATCAAGATAATCCCCACAGGCATGCCTGGAGGCCCATCTCAAAGGTGATTCTAAAGTCTGTCAAGTTGACAGTTAACACTAAACATCAGACTAGTTCAAGAAGCTGAGAAAATTCCATGAGATAATTGCAGAGGAAATTCAAGAAACATTGTAAATTAACCTCTCAAAAACTAAAAGCAAAGAAAAAATTCTTGAAGAAAACCAGTGAGAAAAAGAGGCTATTTACTTGGTTGAATCCACTAGAATAACAAGATCTCACAGAGAGCCAGACAGGCCAAGAGGAGGAGGCATACTCTTCCTCAATACTGAAGGAAAACAGCTGTTGGTTGCAAACTGTCTAGAGAGACTATTGTTCAGGGACAAAAGGAAATAAGGACATTTTCCATTGAAAGAAAGCTAATAAAAGAGTCTATTGCCAGTACACCTTTAAAGAACAGCTGAAGAAGTTCTCTAATCAGAAAGGAAGTGAGAACAGAAGTCTTTTAACTTCAGAGAGCAAAGAAAAGCACTAAAGTAGGATTGTTCATTAGTGTGTTAGCTATTTTCAACCATTTATTTATTTTGTAATGTACATCAAGATTTTCTCTGAACTGTGTGGCTTTTATACAGACAGCACCAAAACTGTGCTGTTTCCTATCACTGGTAGGAAGAATCATATTTCTATGCTTAAATTTTATTTCCAAACATGATGTAAGAGAGTGCTACAATTTTCAAGGTTGGAGCAGTAGCCTAGTTGTAAGTTTTTGAGCTCCTGAAACCCTTATTGGGATTAATCACAGTAGACCTTTGGCAAATAAACGTTGAATAGGAATCTCAAAATAAATGGGAGCAGGGAATTCACGACAAAGGCCCACTGATGCATTTAAAACTGACAGACAGATGTTAGAGGATCAATATGAGAAACAAATTTATACAGCAAGCACTTAACATAGAAAATGCCAAGTTCATAAACAATGAAAAGTGATGTTTGTTCCCTTCCTTTAATCTACTGTGTAGTGAATATAGAGAGATGTAACAAGGAGCAAACTTCAACAGCTTAGTGAAGGCAATTCTCCATTGGCCTCTTGTGTTCCTGCATGCCAGTGTGATGAGAGGCAAAGGTTGTTTTCACCCTGGAGGCTCTTCAAGGATGTATTTACACTCAGCAGTCTCAGAAAACACAGCTTCCTTTTCCAAAGCAAAGGACAGGTTTTCTTGCAGCTTGGAAGATGATGTCTTCCTCTGGAGCAAAGGGCAAGGATCTTTTGTGCTTATAAAAGAATCAGGTTCCCTAAGCTCTGTGTTCTTGCTTGTAACACAATACAACTTGTATGCAAATGTCCCCTGTCCTCTTTGTATCAAACACTCTCTAGGAACTAGGGGTCAGCAAACCAACTCTAGAACAGGCAATTCTACCACTGCGATTGATAAAGCCTTGTATTTTTTCCTGAGAGGGAATAAACCCTTCCTACAAAGAAAACCCAGGTCTGGAGAGTATCATGGTAAATCCTGTCAACATTAAAAAAGTAAGATTACTTTTATACAAAAGTGCTATGAAAGCAGAAGAGGAATGTGTGCTTTCTCCATGGTTTTATGAGGCCAATATTATCCAGATGCCAAACAAGATGAGAGTATAAGGAAATTATAGACCAATGTCCTTCATGAATCTAGATGAAAAAAACATCCTTAATGAAATTTAGCCACTAAACCCCCAA